CATGTAAATTCTTAGCATGTACTCAATGTTCAATGTTCAGTATTTTTAAGGATTTATTTGGTTTAATTAATGAACCTATCAGTAAGAACTAAAGTCAGTCAACTAACTGAACTGCCTGATAGAAATTGTTTGCTATTAGGTATCAGTAATTTATTAAGGGTAATGTTCTACAGTAAAAATCCCTTTTTATTTTAAAATCTCAAACTGGAAGGGGTGTTTATTATTTAGATCATTCTATGCTTCAGTCCCCTCTTCTGATTGACTTGTTTAAAAGCTTTTTATTTTCTTCTGTGACCTCTATTTTGCTGCTTACTGGCACTTAGGATTTTTTTTTAATCCTTTTCCTTAGATGTGATTAAGGACAATAGGTATACTATGGTAACTTGGTAAAACCAAAACAGTGTTTATCACTGTGTAAACCTGGGTAACAGTTTACCTAGACTAGGGCTGATCACAGGACCCAAAAACATTGCAGCTTGTTCCTTCTGGCAAGCACCACCTACTGGCAGCGAGGTCAGTTTGCATGCCCTTTATAGCATTTACTGACTCAATCATACAGGATGTAGTTGAGTCTTACCCACAAGTATGACCTACTGCCTCAGATTAAACTGGGTGTGCCATTATCTAATAAAAAAAATGCAAAAATAAGAGGCAAAAGCTGCTCTAGATGAGAGGGGATCAGTGAAAGATCTCTGGATACATGAAAAATCAGAATGAAAGGACATCTCCAAAAGAAAATAAGTCCATACCAATGGAAACCAACCAAAATGAGAATATTGAAATGACTGATAAAGAATTTGGAATATGGATTGTAAGGAAGGTCAGTGAAATACAAGAGAAAACAGAAACCCAACAGAAAGAAACCACAAAAACAATGCAGGAAATGCATGAAAAGTTCACTAAAGAAATCAAATAATTAAAAAAAGTCAAGCAGACCTTCTGGAAATGAAAAATTCATTCAAGGAAATACAAAACACAGTGGAAAGCCTTAAGAGTGGGCTAGATCAGGCAGAAGAAAGAATCTCAGAGCTAAAAGACAGCACCTTGGAATTAAACAAGTCAGTCAAAGAGAAAGAACAGAGAAATAGAAACAAACAAAGCCTACAAGAAATATAGGATTATATAAAGAGGCTTAACATAAGAATCATAGGCATCCCTGAGAATGAAGAAGAAAATAATACAAGGGCTGGAAAACTTATTTGAGGCAATACTTGGAAGATTTCCCAGGTCTTGCTAGAAATCTCGACATCCAAGTACTAGAAGCTCAACGGACTCTTGAGAGAGTAATCGCCAAGAGGCAGTTACCACAATGTGTAGTCATCAGACTGGCCAAAGTTAACACAAAAGAGGAACTCCTATGAACCATAAGGCTAAAGCATCATGTAACTTACAAAGGAAAAGCCGTCAGACTAACTGCAGACTTCTCAACTGAGATCTTATAAGCCAGAATGGAGTGGAGCCCCATTCTCAGTTTTCTCAAACAGAACAATGGCTGGCCTAGAATTTTGTATCCTACAAAACTAAGTTTCCTACATGAGGAAGAAATAAAGACTTTCTCAGAGAAGCAAACATTGGGGGAATTTGTTAAGACCAGACCTGCCCTGCAGGAAGTACTCAGATCTGCGTTATACATTGATCAGAACAGTAGACACCTACCAGTGTAAAACCATCCAAAAGCTAAAGTTCGGAGCTCGGATACCATGGTGGTTCAAGAGGTAAAACAAAGCAATAAAGTTCTACACAACAGGTTGAACAGAGATCCACCCCACTTATCAATTCTTTCAGTAACTCCCCACTGAAGAGACATAGTCTGGCTGAACGGATAAAAAAATAAAAGCCAAGTATCTGCTGTCTCCGGGAAATTCATCTAACCCACGAGCACTCATTCCGACTCAAGATGAAGGGATGGAAAACAATATTTCATGCAAAGGGAAACCAAAAGAAAGCCAGTGTAGCCATTCTCTTATCAGATAACACAGACTTCAAATCAATAAAAGTAAAGAAAGACAAAGGCGATTTATATAATGGTGAAGGAAACGATTCAACAAGAAGACATAACAATTCTAAATATCTATGCACCTAACACAGGTACGCCCAGATTTATAAAGCAAATCCTACTTGATCTAAACACAGCGATAAACAGCAGCGTTATAATAGCTGGGGACTTCAACACCCCACTGACAGAATGGGACAGATCCTCCAAACAGAAAATAAACAAAGAAACAGTGGGCTTAAACAGTACTCTAGAACAAATGGTCCTAACAGACATTTACAGAACATTCTGCCCCCAAACTACTAAATATACATTCTTCTCATCAGCTCACGGGACATTCTCTAAGATCGATCACATCCTAGGCCACAAAAGGTGGCTCAACAAATTTAAAAAAATAGAAATTATGCCATGCATCTTCTTAGATCACAGTGGAATAAAATTAGAAATCAATTCCAACAGAAACAGTTCTACACAAAGTCATGGAAATTAAACAACCTACTGCTGAATGATTATTGGGTCAAGGAGGAAATAAAGATGGAAATCAAAACAAACTAAATGACAAAGGGGACACAAGTTACCAAAATCTGTGGGATTCTGCAAAAGCAGTCTTAAGAGGAAAATTCATAGACTTAAATGCCTATGTCCAAAAGACAGAAAGATCACAAATCAACAATCTAATGAATCTTCTCAAGAAATTGGAAAAGGAAGAACAAACCAATCCCAAACCCAGCAGAAGGAAAGAAATAACTAAGGTTAGAGCAGAACTAAATGAAATTGATTCCAAAAGAATTATACAGAAGATAAATTAAAAAAAAAAAGTTGGTTGTTTGAAAAGATTATGAACAGTCCTCCTTCTAGACTAACCAGAGACAGAAAAGAAAGGTCCCTAATCTCAATCAGAAATGAAACAGGAGATATTATAACTGATACCACAGAAATACAAAATATCTCTGAATACTATAAAAATCCCTATGCACATAAACTTAAAAGCACTGAGGAAGTGGACAAATTACTGGAAACACAAAAGCTTCCTAGGCTCAATCAGGAAGAAACAGAACTCCTGAACAGACCAATATCAAGTAATGAAATTCAAGCAGCAATAAAAAATCTTCCAGGAAAAAAAGTCCCAGACCAGATGGTTTCACAGCTGAATTTTACCAGACCTTCAAAGAAGAACTGGTACCTATACTGCAGAAATTGTTTCATAACATCGAGAAGGAAGGGATCTTCCCCAACTCATTCTATGAAGCCAGTATCACTTTGATACCAAAGCCAGGAAAGGACACAACAAAAAAAGAAAACTACAGACCAATATCCCTCCTGTATATAGATGCAAAAATTTTCAATAAAATCCTAGCAAACTGAATTCCACTGTACATGAAAAAATAATCCACCATGACCAGGTGGGCTTCATCTTAGAGATGCAAGGATGGTTCAACATATGCAAATCTATAAATGTGATTCACTACGTAAATAGAAGTAAAAACAAAGATCATATGATCCTCTCCATAGATGCAGAAAAAGCATGTGCCAAAATTCAGCACCCTTTTATGATAAGAACTCTTAATAAAACAGGCATAGATAAAATATACCTCAAAGTTATAAAGGCCGCATATGACAAACCCACAAATAACATCATAATGCCTGGGGAAAAATTGAGAGCCTTCCCGCTTAGAACTGGAACCAGACAAGATTGCCCACTGTCACCACTTCTATTCCATAATGAGAATTATAATCTAAATTTAAATTGAGTGACATTTGGATTTCACCATAATTAGGTAGCGTTTTTTAAGAAACGAAATCACAAAGAACAAAATTGAAAATTATATATCTTCTAGAAAAACAATATATAAATTCTAATTTTTTTCGTTCTTTTGATATTGCTTAAAAGAAAACATAGTATTGGTCGAAGTTGGGAAGGATATATGAGGGATTTCTTTGGAGATCGTGGGCAGACAATCTGTTGTCTCAGGTCCATGAAGGAATCCTTGGGGGTGGTTTTTGAGTTAGGTCTGGCAATGGTTGATACATTACACATAAACAGAGCCTAGTTTTCAATGTTTCTGAAAAATGCTTTAATACAAGCTTAGAATGTTGGTAAAGTTCTGTGCTTATATAAATAGCCTTTGATTTTACCACATTTCTAGTGTAAAATATTTATGATGAGGGCTTTCAGAAGTTAAGTGATCCTTTTTTTGAGGGGAGAATTCCAGCTGGATGCTAGGGTAGCATTGTAAAAATCCATTCATTGGAGGATTGCTATGAAATAATGAATTGATCTTAGAATTTGAAGGAGAAACTAACATTTCATTGGCAAGAACAATGGAAAGTTAACTTTCTGTATTCTAATACTGTAGAGGAGTGGAATTTCTTTAGCATATATCTCTTGTGCTCTCCAAGAATGCATATCACTTATATTTCCTTTCATTATTTCCATTTTTTTTTTTTTTTTTTTTGAGACAGAGTCTTGCTCTGTTGCCTGGGCTAGAGTACCGTGGCATCAGGCTAGCTCACAGCAACCTCAAACTCCTGGGCTCAAGCAATCACTCCTTCTGCCTCAGCCTCCCGAGCAGCTGGGACTAAGGCATGCGTCACCATGCCCGGCTAATTTTTTCTATATGTTTTTAGTTGTCCGGCTAATTTCTTTCTATTTTTAGTAGAAACGGGGTCTCACTCTTGCTCAGGCTGGTCTTGAACTCCTGACCTTGAGCGATCCTCCCTCCTTGGCCTCCCAGAGTGCTAGGTCATTATTTCCTAGTAAGTGGAAATTCACTGAACACAGAGATCATGGATGGCATGGCCTCTCTTAACTTTTATATAATTCTGTGTAGTTCAGTGATCTATCAAGAGGGCTATTTTTGGGTACAGTTTTAGTTTTTCTTAAGTCATGTATGGGCTTTTCAGGAGTTGTAGTCTTCCAGGTTAGTTCTTGGCTGTATTTTTTTTGTTGTAGAACTTACAATGCAATATGGTTTTATTAATGTGATTTTCTTTTTCCTTTTTACAGTGATTATTTATTCAAGTTACTTCTGATTGGCGACTCTGGGGTTGGAAAGTCTTGCCTCCTCCTTAGGTTTGCAGTAAGTTGAAATGCCTTTCTAATTATTGGTATAATAAATGCCATGTTTTCTAGGTAGACAAACAATTTTATTTAGAATAAGTAATTCTTCCAGAGTTTATATATTTAAAGCCTCTAAATATACATCCCCAGTGGTATCTTGGACTGTTAAATAGAAAAAATGTTATTGTTCTTAAAAGAAATTCAGCGAAGTATGGTTATAAAGTTAGGGTGTCTTAATACTTTAGGTAGAGGTCAAACAGTGGTTCATTCTAAAATAGGTAGCAAGGTAAGGGGGAAATAGTTTGCCTGTGTTGAAGGTGACTTGATGAAAATAAATTTTCAAGTTGAACTTTAGTGACATAAAAAGAAAAAGCAGGGCCTGGTACAAACTTTGTAGGACAGTGGCATAGGGTTTACCATACTGAAACTGACAGACTTTTGACCTAATGGGAATTCGCAATCCTTCATAGTCTTTATCAGCTGCCTCAAATTTTGCATGTTTCCCTTCTTACTGTATAGATCATTGGTTCTCAGAGTATGGACCAAAGACCCCTGGGGGTTACCAAGACACTCTCAGGTGGTCCATGAAGTCAAGACTATTACCCTAATAATATTAAGGCATTAATATTTACTAAGTAAATATTTACTTAGTAATATACTAATGCAAAAGAAATTTGCCTTTTCACTATGTTGACATTTGCTCTGATACAAAAGCAATGGTGAATAAAACTACTTCTGGTGCCTTAGTATACATCAAGGCAGTGCTAAGCCCCAAGTGGTACTCATAGTCATGGTGTTCTTCACCTCTCTGCACTCACAGGGACACACAGACACAAAAAGCCATTTTCACTTCAGAATATCCGTGACAAAATAGTAAAAATTATTATTTTTTAAAAAATGTTGATCCTTGAGTATTCTTTTAAAAGGATTCTGTGTGAAGAAATAGGAGGTACACATAAAGCACTTTTTACTGCATATTGCATAGTTGCAAGCTGAACTAGCTGTTTCTTTTCATGGAATACCTTTTTTTGGTTTTTTTTTTTAAACTTCAAAGAATAGCTAACAGATAAATTATTGTTATGCAGAATTGGGTATTTGGCAGACTTTTTTTTCAGATGAACTGAGACTTTCAAGGAAAATAGCTGAAAGTATTTGTTGCCTATAATAAAATTTAAGCTTTCAAGGGAAAATTAGAATTTTTGAAAACTTATATTTCACCATTAGGTTTGACAGTGTCCCAAATACTTATGTGACTTTTCTGATGAGAAGAATGACAATATTAATGGAGGTCATTTAAAAAATACTAAGTAATATGTAATTTCTTTTTATATAATGGTTAGAAATAAGACCATGGAAGTACTAGAATAAAACATAGGTGGCTCTTTAATGTTGGTTGTGTGAAGGTATTTCCTAAAATAGAAAAAGGAACAAAGGAAATATTGTTAAATTTGGTTGCATTAAAATTAATTTGTCAAGTGCATAAAAATATAAGAAAACAAATGGCGCTAGCAAAAATATGTATGTGAGAGAGTGTTGATATTCTCAGTGTACAATGAACATTTACACATCAATAAGAAAAGCATGATTGTCCTAGTGGAAATACGTGCAAGTACATGAGCAGGCCATTCACAAAAGAAGAAATAACCAATTGCCAATAAACGTGAAAAAAGAGTTAAACTTTATTTGTAATTAAAGGACTTTAAGTTAGAATTATATATCACTTAATTTTTAATAATTGGTAAATATTAAAATTGAGAATAATTCTTAGAATTAGATCAGCAGTTATAGGGGAGGTGGGAAGACATTGCTTGATGAAGTAGCTTAAGGTGTCTGTGCCTTCAAAGAGTATCCTCTCTGGCATGCCCATTGATCTAAGTCAGGTATTCAGTACTGCCTGCATAGTAAAATAACCTGGGAAGTATTTAGCAAATACTGATGCCCATACCCTCAAAATAGAGACATTGTGGTGAAAGCTATAATAAAGAAATGTATAGTAAGCTTTGGGAGCACAGAGGGAAGAATCTTAACTATTGGCTGAGGAGTTGGAGAAGTTGCTTGAGCAATCAGTATTTCCTGAACTCGAAGAATGAACAAAAAATTGCCACATGACCCAGGGCCTGAGGAGTAGGGTTATACAGAATGAGAGTCTGAGAATTTTGGGCAGAAGGAATTGTATGTGCAATGGCTGAGTCATGGGAGTAAGGGTCATTTAGGGATTTACAAGAATTCAGTATTTCTAACCAAGCATCAGGCATGTAGAAGTGCTAAATAAATGTTTATTGCATTCATTTTGTTCTCTATCTACTACGTTTTATGGTACCTGATACTTGGAACTCAATTACAAAATAAATAACTTTTAGAAAATGAATACTTAGTGAGGAGCATTTTGTCAAATTGCATTCAGTGCCTTGAAAGTGTGTATTCTTTTACCCAGTGATTCTTGATATGCTGAAATGTGATTATGTGAGGATAAATCAATATAGTAACCTCTAATCCTTGAAACTCTCTGATTACATTTTTTACAGGGTTTTTTTTTTTTTTTTAGAGATAGAGTCTTGCTCTGTTACCCAGGCTGGAGTATAAGTGGCACAATCATAGCTCACTGCAGCTTCCAACTCCTGGGCTCATGTGATCCTCCTGCCTCAGCCTTCTGAGTAGCTGGGACTGCAGGCACATATCACCACACCCACCTAATTTTTCTATTTTTTGTAGAGACAGGAGTCTTGCTTTGTTGCCCAAGTTGGTCTCAAAAGTCCTGGTGATCTTCTGGCTTGGCCTCCCAAAGTGCCGGGATTATAGGTGTGAGCCACTGTGCCTGGCCTACAGTTTTCTTTAGAGATCTTTTTTATTTTAATTTCATGCATGAATTAGATTTCACATTATCAAGACTTATATTGTTTTCATGTAACCCTTTTTTTTCTTTTCTTTCTGCTGGAGTATTGTAATGCAGATCTCAAACATGTTTTCTCCCTATCTACTTCAGTAGGCATTTCTAAAAACTGGACATTTTCTTATGACAGTGCCATTGTCAACCTAAAAAATTTTATAAATTCCTGATTGTCTCAGAAGTGCTCTCTTGCTTTTGGTTTAAATCAGGGTCCAGACATAGTCCATACATTCCACTTGGTTGTTTTGTTGTTTAGTCTTTTTTTTTTTTTTTTTGAAGCCTACAGCATCCAGTATTCCCAGGCTGTCTCCCATCCAAGTACTAAAGAGGCCCCACCCTGCTTAGCTTCCAAGATTAGACGAGATTGGGCACGTTTGGCGGGTGGTATGGCCATAGACTGTTTGTTTAGTCTTTTAATTTAGAGTTTCATACCTCCCTTTTTTTACTTATGGATTTTTCGTGTCATTGGCTTTTTGCAGAAAGTGGGGCATTTGTCTTGTAGGTTATCCAACATTCCATATTTATCATTTTGCTTCCTTGTGGTACAAACTTACTCCTTTATCCCTCTTTCTCTAATAGAAGGAGGGCCTAGAGCTGTGCTGTCCATATGGTATCTACTAGCTCTACATGGCTATTCAAACAAATTTAATTAAAATTGAAAAAACTAAAAATTAAGTTTCTTATCTCATAAGCCACATGGGGCTAGTGGCTACCATATTGGTTAGTACAGCTTATGGAGCCTGTCATTGTAGAAAGTTCTCTTTGACAGTGCTGCTTTTATTAGGCATTATTAAACTTAATTCCATTTTTGTTGGCAGAATACTTCCTAGGTAGTGCTTTGTGATAGTCTAGTCTCTCCATTTATGTATCTTTTTACAGGAAACATTTTCACTTAAAGAAAAATACAAGTTTTGTGTCCATTCTGAGTAAAATGTCATGACAGATACTTGAGAGAAACAAGTATAATTTTAAAAGTTTAACATTGGGTTAAAAAGTTGACAAGAAACATGTTCACAGGAAAAGTTGTACGCAGATGTTTATAGCAATATTATTCATAATAGCCAAAAGTGGAAACAACCCACATCAAATGTCCGTCAATTTATGAATGGATAAACAAAATGTGGTATATTCGTACAATGTGTTATTATTCAGCTATAAAAAAGAACAAAGTATTGATACATGCTGCAACGTGGATGATCCTTGAAAACATTATGCTAAGTGAAAGAAGCCAGGCACAAAAGGCCAAGCATTGTATGATTCCACTTAATATGAAATGTCCAGAATAGGCACATCCATAGAGACAGAAAGTAGATTAGTGTTGCCAGAGTCTGAGGGGGAAAATGGGGAGTAGATGCTAATAATTACCGGGTCCTTTTTTGTTGATGAAAATGTTCTGGTTACAACCTTGTGACTATACTAAGAACCACTGAATTGTACACTTTAAAAGGGTGAGTTTTATGTTAATGTGCATTATATCTCAATTTTTAAAACTCATAACTAGGAAATAAAATTAGCTTCTAAAAAAATCCCTAAGTGGAGAGTAAAATGATTGTTGCTTTGTGGTGAATAAATTGGGTGGGTGGGTGGGAAGGGTAAGAGTTTTACTGATTAGCAATTAGAAAAATCATTCATAATCATTGAAATTATAACACCTTTTTCTATATGATGTATCTAAAGAATTTGCCAAGAGATGTTTGGAAAAAATAAAGAATGGCTATTGAAAAGATTTTAAGGAAAGAAGAAACTGTTCAGTAGTCAATGCTTTGTAATCAGAATATGAATCGAGTACCGAAGCAGGGTGGAGTGGCTATTTTCAGCATGTTATGCTTCATAAACTTTGTTTATAAACTTTGTAGATAAAACTAAACATTATATTTTAAAATTTACTCTGTCGAACATTAACTATTTTCTCCTTCAGGATGATACGTATACAGAAAGCTACATCAGCACAATTGGTGTGGATTTCAAAATAAGAACTATAGAGTTAGATGGAAAAACGATCAAGCTTCAAATAGTAAGTGATTTTTGGCTAGGAATTTTTTTGGAAATTGGTAAATTTGGAATGTATTATTTGTTTTGTATATTTAATATGCTAACAAAATCAAATATAAAGCATTTTAAGAATCATGCACCTATGATAGATTGGTAGAATAAGAATTATTTAGGGCCAGGTGCAGTGGCTCACTGAGGCCTGTAATCCTAGCACTCTGGGAGGCCAAGGCGGAAGGATTCGTTCAGGCCAGGAGTTTGAAAACAACTTGGGGAACATAGCAAGACCCTGTCTCTACAAGAAGTAGAAAAATTAGCCAAGAGTGGTGGTGTGCACTTGTAGTCCCAGCTATTTAGGAGGCTTAAAGCAAGAGGATCGGCTTGGGCCCAGGACTGGAGGTTGCAGTGAGCTACAGTGATGCCATTGCCAGGGGGACAGGGTGGGACTCTGTCTCAAGAAAAAATTTTTTGTTTAGATTAAAAATAATTTTTCTAAGATTGCTTTCCTCATTGAATTTTCTATTGATAAAGCAGAGAAATTCATGTTTTAAGTTAAACTTGGTCCTAGTCTCTTTTTATCAGTGGAAGTCTTAAGTTCAAGTTTACTTTGTCCTACAGTGAAAGTGTTATAGACTGTTTTTTGTATGTTTTTTACTGTGCTGAGTGCTGGGGAACATTGAAGGAAACCTAGGAGACGTTCTTTTGTGGCTTAGTTGAAGAGAAGTATTTATTATATTTAGTCTTGTTGTATTTTTATTAGATAGTATTACGAGCTCTGTAGAAACATAGAATTTTGTTGGGAAGGAACTAAGCTTTTCTTTTGTTTTCCTTTTTTATTCTTTTTATTCTTTTTGACACCCCACCCCCTACCCCCAGCGCCAGTCGGAACTTAGCTTTTCTAACATGTTCATTTTATTGCTTGAGAAATGGATGCTGAAAGATTTAATAACTTCCCTACAGTTACTGGCAGAACCAAATGACTCAGGGACACTATTTTGTATCCCTGCACCGTCCCATCCCCCTTATCCATCTTTGCATCCCTAGCCACCAGTTAACTATAGGCAATTGAAGTAGTTCAGTTGTATCTTTTTTTTTTTGAAACAGTTTTATTCTTTGCTTAGGCAAGGGTGCAGTGGCGTTATCATTGCTAACTGCAGCCTCAACTCCTGAGCTCAAGTGTTCCTCTTGCCTCTGCCTCCCAAGTAGCTGGGACTACAGACGCGCACCACCACACCTAGGTAGTTTTTCTATTTTTTATAGAGATGTGGCCTCGCTCTTGTTCAGGCTGGTCTCGAATTCGTGGCCTCAAGCAATCCTCCTGCCTCAGCCTCCTGGTTAGCTAGGACTACAGGTGTGCCCCACCACACCCAGCTAATTTTTTTTTTGTTTTGTATGGGTGAGCATCTTGCTATGTTGACCAGGCTGGTCTTGAACTCCTGGCTTCAAATGATCCTCCCATTCCTTCTGCCTCGTCCTTCCAAAGTGCTAGGATTTATAGGTGTGAGCCAGGATGCAGGCCTACAGTTTTTTTTTTTTTAAGAAGTCATTGTCTACGAGTAATTTTAACAAAAATTCTCATTGCTTTTGTTAAAACCAAGGCTTTTTAAATCTAAAAATTGAAGTTGCTTCATGGTATTTTTAACAATTAGTTTTTTTCTTAAACCCAGAACTTTAATGTAATAATGTAAGCATTTGTTTTTGGTGTCTGAGCCTAAATGGTTCAAGTGTGGTAAATTGCTCTTAAAATGAGTTTTATTAAAAGTATCTGGAATCACCTTTCTTGTTTTCCCTAGGATTAACATAATGCCTGTCTGAAATGGCTGAAGTGTT